TGCAGTTCTTGAGCATGTTTTTCACTCTTGCCATACTATAATTATGCCAGATACTGTCATTGTGACAGTCAGGAAATGCATGACTGAAGATTTAATTTTAACATTACTAATTCTTTTAAGTAAAATCAATGGCATTGGATAGATGGCTAATTTCTCTCTGGTTGTGTCATTTTGCAGGTTCACCTGAATGAGCCAATAACCCTGTTTAAGTTCCTCTCTCTTTTATGGGGCTACAACAGTAATTTGGGTGATCAGTTGGATTGTCGAGTTAGTGCCATACTGCAAACTCAGGCTCTTTATGTGGGAAAGGCTTTGCTTTGCAGTCAGCCAATAAAAACCCTCAATGTGCTGGCATCAGGTTCCTCACCAGGTATGTCAATATGGTCTCTCTCACATCTGGTTTTATTTTGGTTCTGTGCACATCTGTACGGGATGTTGTGTGAGTTGAGTTAGTATATTTGCAAAGATTTAATCATCAATATATTCATAGTTAAAATATTTAGTTACTTTTTAAAAAAAGAAATCTGACTCATGTGCAACCCACTGGTGTTGTTTTTGCAGTGGTGCCGTCCTTGCTGATGTGTCTGTGTTCAGGCGTCTGTGAAGTTCGGAGAGCTGCCATTGCTTTGCTCCACTCTCTCTCAGGGGTCGTTTCATCACCTTATTATCCACTGGTAGAGAACCTCCTCAAATCATCAGAAGAGATCATCGCTGACCCATCATACCTCAGCCAGGTCAGTCAAAGCACAATACAGCATCATAGCTTTGGTAAACAGGATTTTCCATTTTGTGTTGAGTAAGTTCTAGAAGTGTTGGATGCCTAAATCAAAACTGTTTAAGAAATAACACTTCTGATTTTACCGTAGGCACTGTCCAAGGTGTACGAGGAGGGACTGATATTGAAAGATAAAAAGAAAAAGCTGGCATCGATTGAGCAGCTCCTTCAGTGTGTGCAGTTACCTTGCTGCCCTGCCTACACCTGCAAAACACTGCTGCGAGCACTTCAGGACATTCATGGAGAGGTACCGTCACCAAACTGATCATTTTAGTTTGCATCTCCTCAAGTAGTGTTTAGTTGTTTTGTGTATTATAGAAGTGGTTTGTGCAGTCCATGTGATCAGGTGTTTCTTGGTCATGACCATGAAACATACTAAAACAATAGTTCTCAACAGGTGGGAAAATCCATCTTTGCTCTGCAAAGGTGACGCATAAGCTGTACAGTAGACAAAAACTGTTTAATGCTGCTCTGAGGTGGCATGAATGCATTTACACTGCAATTACAATTGCATGTTATTAGATTTAGGTTCACCTGATTATTTTTTTCAAAGTCGCACATAGTAATTATCAGTTACTTTTATTTAAGTGTTTGATGCTAGTTTGTCATGCTTTTCTTATGATAATGCCCTTTGTCCAGCCCATTTTGGCCGTTCTTCTGCCTGCTGTGGAGCGACTTCTCGAGCAGTGTGCTCCAGACTCATGCACCTTCCTGCCAGATGAGGCCCACCTCCTGCAGCTCCTGCTTAGCAAGTTCAGTGAGGCATCTGCACCTATACTGGTCAAAGACCCTCGATGCCTAGAGGTCTTCATTAGGGCATTGGGCACCTCAGCAAAGCCGTACCCTACTATGCCTAGTTTCCAGATTATTGCCCTGGAGCAGGTTGGTGGACATTTAGAAAAAGCTTTATACTCTTAAGAAGCTATTAACTGTGTAACTCTGTAGGACATAGCAAAGCAACCTTTAAAAGTGATGCAGGCTGTTCAACAAAAAAAAAGAGTATCTTCTGAAGAGACATGATCACTTTATATAACGAACAGATTTAGTTAAGGTTTTTAGTCACATTGATAAATTCACAAAAATAGAGCTCATCAAATATGGTGAACAGAAGCTCAAATGTACTTGTTTGATGTGCCAAAAAAAACCTTATTGGCTCTTGCAGAAGGTCAAATGTGCTTGCATGACACACAAGAACAATTCATTTTTGTGTGAACTAATCTATTAAGGATCTCAATTTAATTTTTGGACTGACACTTTTGCTTGGAGATTGACAATTGGAAATTTTGGTCCATTAAGACTCCACAGTTTAGTTTTGTTTTCACATACTTCATCATTAATAAGTTTGTCGTTTGTCTTAGAATTGTTACTATGAGGTAAAATAAAAAAAATTATAAAAAAAACTCTTGCACCATATGTTCTGTGACGAAAGATGTTTTGTTATAATTTGATTGCATGTTTCCTCAGATCACCAAGCCGTTCTTCACTGCTCTTGGAGATGAAAAGATTCAACAGAAAATTATTTCTGTTTTATTTGACTTGCTGGTGGGGAACAAAAACCCTGCATGTGCCCAGACTATAAACAGTGTATTTAAAGTGGTATGGAAAATATTCATTTTCTTTTCATATCCATTTTAAATCAAATGATTCAGAAGTAAGGATTTGTGCTTATTTTGCTTATATATCAATAACCCATGTTTGGCTGTGCCCCTTTTTTCTAGATTGCTGTGGATGCAGAGCTAGTGGCCAATGAGCTGATGCCTGTAGATAAACAAAAAGTTACTGCTACAGTTCAACAAACACGCAGGAGTAAAATGCAAACAAGGTGAGTTGCTGTCCTTAATTAATCAACTCCAACTTCCAGTTCTGGAAGATTTGAAGATTTAAATTGCAAGCTTTATTCTCAGAAAAACACAAGAATCATCCGGGGTAGTTCCAGAGGAGAATGTTGTCTCTTGGCCAAGAGTTACCCTTATTTTAGAGCTGCTGCAACACAAGAAAAAGCTAAGGAGAGCCCAGTGTCTTGTGCCCGCTCTGTTTAATCTGCTCTCCAGGTATGTTAAGCTTGCATCTACCGCCATGTTTTTACATTTAACATTACACTGAAATATATCACATAAAAGTATAATGGACTGTGATTGCTGTTTCATTTGTGTGCTGTAGATGTCAGGAGCCTGCCTCAGCTGAACAGGAAAATCTTGAGTACACAAAACAACTTATCCTCAGCTGCCTGCTGAATGTCTGTCAGAAACTGTCTCCTGATGGAGGGCCTATCAGCAAAGGTACCAGAAATCTGGCATGAAATGCCTAAAAAAGGATTAGAAAGGTTATGATTGGGGTCAGATGATTTCATTACTTTGTTTTAGCCCTATGCGGATGGTAATACTCTACATGAGGGTGTTAGATAATTTTGCAGACCTTGAGAAATAATTACCATCCAGGTTTATTTGTCACATATATCTACTGCAGTAGATATAAACACAAGCTTTCTCTTGAGTTTCTTTGAATCAGGAAACATTGTTAGGAAGTATTTCATTTGTGTGTGTGTGTGTATAGATGTGCTGGAGGAGGATAAATTTAACGTGGAGCTGGTAGTGCAGTGTGTCAGGATATCAGACATGCCCCAAACTCACCATAATGCTCTCCTTTTGCTCGGTGCTTTGGCGGGTGTCTTTCCTGTAAGTACAATCGTGAAACGCTCACTCACACACATACTTTCAAACACAGCGGTAAATGTCTTTCTCTCTGATTTTAGGAGAAGGTTCTTCACAACATTATGCCCATTTTTACATTTATGGGCTCCAACATCATGCGGCTGGATGACACTTACAGCTTCCAGGTCATCAATAAGACTGTTCAGGCAGTCATCCCTGCTCTTATAAAGGTATGTTTAAAAATATGTTTGTTCTATGTACTGTTTGATATATTTTAAAGCAATAAACCCCAAGAAGCCGTGGTTTACAGTGAATTTATAACAGCTATACCCCTTAGCTGTTATAAATTCACTGTAAACTACGGCTTCACGGGGCTTATTGCTTTTATAAAACGGTTATTCCATATACGTAGTAAGGTTTCACAAAATAGAACAGAGCAAATAAAGTGTAATAATATTAATAAAAACATTCTTCCGCCAAACAATGTAGTTCCTCAGAATCCGTTGTGGTTCCAACAGAGTGGTTGCCGAGCAACACACAAATGTAAACGAAAGGTGTATGTTTGTGGAGTAATTTAAAACGGCTTCGAACTTGGCTCAACCAATCAGAATCAAGGACCGGAACTATCCGTTTTAGAAAGCATTTGAATGTCTGCTTTCCATAAGAGCTTCAAAGATTTGAACAAACCTCAAATCTATAGTATTAAACTTCTCCATGTAACTCGTTTGTAGGGGTGTGCAATATGTATGGCAATATCGTAATAGCTGTTTAATGACGTGTAAGCTGACTTTCAGTATGTCACTCACTTTATTAAAAACAAACAAAAACACTTGATTCTAGATATGGTGGTTAAAAAAATGACCCTGTATGACTTTTTTTTTTTTTTGCATTTATAACAATCTAGTTGATGTCATATGAGACATTTTCTTGAATATCAGCACTAATGTGGTATTGATTTTATGCAGCAGTTAAAAAAAGTTAATATTCTAAAGGAAGAATTTAGGCACAATATTGTCAACATTGCTCTATATCGAAACAAAATAGTACAATTATAATAATGAAAATAGTCCCAAACAAAACCCTAGCAGAAACGTTGCACGTTCAAGAAACACACAGCAGTGATTTAGTGAATGAATCCATGTTTTTAAATTAATCAGATGAGTCAGTAATTCAATGACTCATTTAAGCAACACACAGCAGTGACTTGCTGCCACATACTGGCATTTATAATTTCCTATTTAAAGTATTGTGTATTATGTCTAATTATCATTGACAAAATCCACACAATATTGGGATTTTTTTTGTCAATATCAGACATCAAAAATGATTTGTACTACAGACATGATTGATATTTTGTATAGAGATTGTAAGGAGAAATATGCTATTACTCATGTAAGCAATAGGAATTCATTGGATTATTTGTCCTGGTGGATGATAAAATGGATGACTTATACTGAAGGAGGGATCCAAGCCGCATCTAGAGACTAGAATATCATAATATTAAGCAGTGCCTGCCTTGGCAACCACCTAGAATACGCTAAAATTTGCATAGAAACGCATCAAAGCCGCTTAGAACACCTTGGTAACTACATGGCAATGCCTTTGCAACCAGACACAATCTATTATAGTGGTGGGGAGTTTTACACAGTTTTATACTCATATTTTCTTCATAAAATGAGAAAGGTTTATTTTTCTGTTATTTAACAGAAAATTTTTTAACTGTTACAACATTATATTTCGATTCTTGTTTCTCCACAGGCCAATGAGGGTGGAAGTGCCCAGTCTGAGGGGCATATGGAGACTGTGGTATCACATATCGTGCATGTGTTTGTTGATGCCCTGCCTCATGTGCCTGAGCACAGACGCTTACCTATTCTCAGCCAGCTGATGAACACACTGGGGCCGTCTCGCTTCCTCTGGGTCCTGATGCTGCTCCTGTTCAAACAGCATGCCACACAAACTTCTGTCAGTGCAACTGGGGCTGAAAAGGTAAAGAAAGTTTCATGCATGTTTTTTAAATTTCTAACTGTATTGATATTTTAGTTTAAGATTGCTGAATAAGCAATGTTCAGAAAAATGTTATGATACACTGGAAACCCCCTGTGTTTAGCTTTGTAGAAACAGTTGTGTTGTTTGATGTGTAGGAGGCTGTTGTAGAAAGAGATCAGGAATTCTGGATTTCGGTGTGCTGTGAGTTTGAGATAAAGGAGCAGCTGACCTCCATGATCAGAATCTTGCAGTATCTCATGACTCTACCACAGGACAGAGAAGAAGGTAAGAACTGCCCACTTCAGTGAAATGCGTCTGACATTTTTTCCCTTATGTTGACAATATTGTTTTCTTGATTTTAAGTGATCTTCATTTTAAAAAGCCATTATTGATTCATAAATCCAAAGACCGATCTTTTAGTGGTTTTCAGTGGATGTGAACAAAACTTCAAGCATTACAGGGCTCTAGACTGCGAACATTTTTTGACAATGTGCGAGTTAAAATTTGATGTGGTCGCATTTGTGCGAGTGCATGGTCTGCACTGCTCCAAAGCGTCTGCTCCATACAGCGCGTTGCAGAGCCGCAGCACATTGTAGCAGGAGATTTCACTGATCACGTGAAGAGAGGTGCTTTCAGTGCAAGCGCTTCAGGTGTAGAGCCTGGTTATACTTGCCGCGTCAGCACGAGCGCAAAGGTGTGTGCAGCGTGCGGCAAAAATTATGCAAATATTGAGGAAACGAAGACAGACGGAGGATTTGGTTTTCAAGCTAAAGTAAAAGACCACTTCTTAAACCAGAGAAGGTGAACATGTTGATATTCTTGTGGGAAAAAAAACATGCAACCGACAGCTAGTTTAGTTTTACTTTTCTTTTTGTTTTAATTTTGAAAATATTTGCTGTTTACCTCACGTTACGCTATGGAGGCTTTCTTTTAATTTATTTTTTATTTTTTTTATTTGATTCCTCAGTGTTTGCTGAACGTTCTGTAATTTATTAGTCGGTATATAATACAGCATGTGGTGTATGCCGTGCCTCATCTTATTCATTTTTGTTAATAAACGTTATGTAAGCTAGTTTGTCATTGTAGCCTACTGTTTTATTGTTGTTGTGCTTTTTAATTAAGAATAACAATAAATCCATCTTTTGGTTTAGTCTTAAAAAGTGAAAGGTGTATAGATGTAAGCAAAACAGACAATTATCTTTTCTTGTCAAACGTGATAAGATCTCGAATTCGAAAGTGAAACCATCCAAAGCCCAGCTTATAAGATGGCAAAAGAGGAACTCCTGTTCACGAAATTCAAACCACAAATAATACTGCTGATGAAAAAGAACGGGTTCAATGTTAACCACTTTCGTTCCCATATAACTATAAACTATGATAAAAGTTTTGATTAATCCCATGTTGTAGCAAAAAAAAAAAAAAATTGCGTGCAACCAACTGAAAAAAGTTAGTCGCAAAAGAACGACCAGTGGATTTGCAGCCCTGCATTATTTAGCATGCCTGCCATCCAGTAATGGCAATAAGCTTTGTTTTTTTTTTACTTTTGACAAGAAACAAAGTCTCAGCTTTGAAATGCTCTCACTTTCATCATGAAATTCAAACAATAAATGGTGTTGATGCTCTTAAATGTGGCGTGACAGATGGCTGTATCTGCCTCAGTTTAAGCAGCAGCACAGAGCGCACACGAAAAGATTGTCTTCCTATTTACTATTAGTTATAGCATGAAATAAACATGAATTAGCATCAAAGATGTGTTGAAAGAACCCCTGTAGCTTATTGAAATGTATCGTGTCCTATGTAATCACTCAATCAGTGTATCAACTGTGGGAAGACATCAATAAAACGGCAAACATTGTCACTTAAGATAACATTTACCTCAAGAAACCCTTTCAGTGTCCATAACTCAATTTGGTCAACTAGAAAAAAAAACTTCATAGAGGATTTTGCTAAATATGCACTATATTACATATTTTCACTTAACCTGTTAGTGATGTTAAATGCATGTTTAAATATGCATTTGTAAAAAAGCCACTGTGTAACTGTCTTTTAATATTAAGAAGCTAATTATGTGCAGTTTGTTTTATGCACAATGTTTGTATACAAAACTGCCTTTTGTGCAATTATGAGCAATGTTTGTATACAACACTGTTTATATTTAGGTGTGGACTCTGTTGTTAATTTTAACCTTTAAGGCAGGGTTCCCTGTATGGTTTACAGAATTATTGACAGTTAGTTCGAATTGACTTCTCGAATCGAATCTAGAAATTAAAGGACAGGGAAAAAAAAAACTATGTTTGATATTTTCTCTGTGCAGCTCCAGAGAAAAAGAGGACCCGTGGAAGAAGTGCGGTGAAGAAGGAAGAAACAGTCTCTGATGTGATCTTCAACGTAGAGGCTCATAGTGGCAAGGACCTCCGCCATTTTAAATTCCTCTCCGTCTCTTTTATGGCTCAGCTTCTGGGCTCTGACAGATTTGTTGGGAAGGTAGGTTTAGAGTAGGAAGCATTCGGTTTAATGTTGATATTATAATGCCTCTAGGATTTCTCAGTAGACACCCTAAATGTGTAATTGTTCGACTGATAGGTGGCTGACTGTGAGGACCTAACAGAAAGTACCTTGCAGGCTCTTCAGCAGAAGTGTGTTGCAGCTTGACTACAGTACTTGGCTTAATGGTGATTGGTTATAGTGACGTTGGCAGGGTGTAACGTTTGTGTTTACTTGTTAGTCTACTTGAGGAGGTTCTGCGCTACATCCATGCAGTTGCTCGATGTGTAGAGGATAATGCAGACAAACCCACAGCTAAGTTCTGGAGAGCTCTGCTCAGCAAGTCCTATGACATCCTGGACAAGGTAGGAGGCACTGGATTGATAAGATATTATTGAGCATGTTTACAAGCACACCAATATGCTGATAGCTACCAAAAATTAGTTTATTAAAATAACCAACTTTACCTGTTTACATACAAATCAATAACCTGGCAAAGCAAGACTTTCTTGGGTCAAGAAAGAGTTCAGAATGCACAGTTAATTTTTTTGTGTACACTTTAATTCGTGCATGCACATGCATAAAACATGATCTGACTTTTAGGTTAACGCCCTGCTACCCATGGATTCCTTCATTATGGTAATGAGAGGCCTGATGGGTAATCAGTTGGCATCAGTAAGAAGGAAGGCCATGGAGTTACTCAATAACAAATTACAGCAGCGAACGCAGTGGGTGGAAGAACAGGTAAAAAAAAAAAAATTTGCTAAACTTTTTTTATTACATAATGCAAACCGGTTTTAATTAAGCATTTGTAGACTGTTTAGAAAATGTTACATTTTATAACTTAGAAACAATGACTGCATATTCTACAATAATAAATGTTTAAATATTTGCTGATCACTTTGTTTCCTCTACTTCTCTGACAGATTACTGTGCTTCTGGAGCTCATTGGCGTCCTCCTAAAAATCGTGGGTCGGAGTCACGGACAGGTCACGGCACCGGAAGAAGAAGAGCTGGCTATCAATCGACAGACAGCCCTTTACAGCCTTAAGCTTCTATGCCGGAATTTTGGCTCAGCCCACCAGGAGGCATTTGTACCAGTGCTGAAAAAAGCAGTGGAGCTTGTTGCTAATAAAGACGAGGAGAAGAACGTCATGGGAAGTGCTCTGCTGTGTGTAGCTGAAGTGACCAGCACACTGAAGGCCCTCGCAATACCACAGTTGCACAGGTACTGTTAAGCCCAAAGTAAGGTATTTGGATTTTACACGTATGCTAGTGTATAGTGAACAGTGCAGGGGTTGTACATTTTGTCATCAGTATAGGAAGTGTACAGTAATGTGTGCAGCCTGACTCCCGGCACAGATGAGCACTTTTGTGAGGGGTTATGAGATCGATAGGCCTACATCTTTAGTTTAAAGAGTTTACAAAGATATTTTTATTGCTTATAACCTCTGGAGAGAAATGATGCAGACAGGACATAGATTTACCTTTCCAGTGTGTTGTTGTCACCTGTGTTTGTGCATGCTATCAAATAGAATATACTTTAAAGTCTTATGTATTCAGCTGTATGCATATGTTAAGCATACGCGTCAAAACTGAAGTATACTTTTGAGTGTTCGTAGTTGAATTTTACATAAGTACGAAGTGTAAAGCTGACAAACCGTGTAAATCTCTAGGGTTGGGAATCTAGAAATGGTTCTAATTTTTTTTAAACATACTGGAAGTGAATGATCTTCATTACTTGTATATTAATGTGTTCTGTCTTCAGCCTGATGCCTGCAGTGCTAGACACTCTAAAGGAGAGGAAGGACCTGCTGAACAATGAAATCTACCTGCTGAGTGCTGTCACAGCTCTACAGCGCGTATCAGAGACGCTACCACACTTTATCAGCCCCTACCTGGAGGACACCATCTCACAGGTCAGTATCAGTGCAATGTTGTTACTTTAAGTTAAACCCTAGAACAGCATATGTTATTCAAATACATTTTATCTACAAGGTTACAATTCTCATTTGAATCTTCTCATTCCTCTCTGGTGCTCTAGATCGCCTGCCTAACTCTGCTAGCCAAACGACTGACATCTTGCCCTCAGCTGTCTGTACGTCTCTCCTCGCTCAGTGCCACTCTTGCCACAAAGGTGCCTCCAAGGGTCCTCATTCCCACCATTACAAAATGCTATTGCACCATGGTGGATGCTCAGCAGGTAGGTTTTGGTATATCACAGAAATACCAAAGAGTTTGAATGGACACAATCTTTGAGATGTCTTTTAGAAGTGTCAATTAATGGACACTTCCTTCAGTTTATTGCTATTCTTTGTTTTATTCATCTGATACCCATATTTTCTGTACCTGTTGCAGAACCGTCTTGGTCCTCTGATGATCATCCTGAAGGAACATATAACTCGCATGGAGAAGGACCAACTCAACAACCACCAATCAGAGCTCACTTCCTTCTTCCTGTCTGCTCTTGATTTCCGTACCCAGCATTGCCAGGTGGCACTACATACCCCTGTTTCAATTCATTTTTTCAACAAGTGCACTTATTGATGATTATAAATATAACTTTATTGTTTAATAGGGGGATCTGAAGAAGACTGGTGAGATCGAGGGCTATGTGATTGACTGTCTGCTAGTGATGGTTATGAAACTTTCAGAAGTCACCTTCAGACCTCTCTTCTTCAAAGTAAGCTTCTATTGTTTAGTGAGAAAAAAGACTTCCTCTAATAAACTGATTCTCAAAGTGGTACGCAGAGGAATCACTGAATTAAATATAAATTAATGTTAAAACACTTTTAAAAAGTTTGCAAGGTGGCTAAATGATGCCTGTTAATTTTTTGGATCAAGTACTGTACATTTAAGTACAGTACAGTAACTACCTCGTTTTTGAACTGTGCATAGCTGTAGCTGAATAATTAGGCCTACTACGCTACTGTATTTTAATGTTGGTCATTATGGTGGTACTTGGAGAGCCAAATATTGTCTGAGGTGGTACTTGGTGTAAAACGTTTGAGAACCACTGCTCTAATAAGACAGTCTCTTGTTTTTAGTTGCATAAATAATAGTGATTGCTCTTTCGAATCACTGCTCCATAAGTCTCTAAGGATTTTACATGATCTTAGATCAGTTTTAAAATAAAGACACGTTAATGCCACATTTTTATATAAAAAAATGAATCAAGCAGTTAATTGGCACTTGTTAGCCTGATTAGTTACATGTTCCATAAAACACAAAGCAAGCCATACAAATTAATTCAACAACATATTATACAGACACTGAATGTTAATGGTGTTTGGTGATTTGTATATCTAGAAAACATTTTGTGAAGCAAAATTTCAGTTTCGAAAGATACATTTATCGCATTACTAAATAACATGTCAAATAGTACACACAAAATTGTAAAAAAAAAAAAAAAACGTACATATTTACATGGAATTCACTAAACAAGCTTTCGAGACTGAGCTTAAAAATTCTGTTTATTTTATTACAAAATTTAAATATATGTTGTCTTAAATGTGACAGGAACCGGTATCTTTACAGAGGAGCATTTTGCTAAATATATGCACTATATTACAGATTGATTATATTTTTATTTGTTAATGATTCTCATTTTAACCTTTAATATTAATGTACCAACTGACAGGGTTCCCTGTATAGTTTACAGCATTATTTGCGAGACTGTACCTGTAATTTAAATATTTTCTGCGGTTGTGTGGGCATGGTGATAGCTAGGGATGTAACGATTAACCGCAAGCCGGTTGAAAATCGGTTCAAATATGTGACACTTCAAATCGAGATGCTAAACAAATCGCGATTCAGTTAGGTGTAGGAGTTTATATGACTGTATGTCTGAGGGGAACTTACTGTCTATAGAAAAGTTTAGATGGTATTTTTTTCTTTTCATCTTGCCATAAGTGCAGCGCTGCTTTGTTTACAGCGGAAACCAAAGAAAAACGCCTTAAGCGCCACCTGCTGGCAGAGAGTGAATCTGCGTCTCGTTCAGCAAATGAGGACAATAGAAGCAATCAAAACCAACAAAAGAGCAATAATATGCAAGTGTTATATTAGTATATTATTATAGTGTTATATCTCAATTTCACAAAAAACGTGCAGCATTTTGTTCAAGCAATAATAAAAGGACACATTTCATTTATAATGTCTTAAATCTCATTTTGTAAAAAAAAATCGTGAATCGAATCGTGAGATCAAAATCGTGAATCGAATCGTGACTTCAGTGAATCGTTACATCCCTAGTGATGGCTAATAAACTCGTCGATTAATCAGTTAAAAAAAAAAATTATTTGTTGCCAAATGCTCAATATGTACTTGACTTGAACAAAATGCATGCTGATTGAGTCTTTTTTTATTTTTCACTTTTCTGCAGTTGTTTGACTGGTCAAAGATGGATGGTGCTTCTAAAAACCGCCTGTTGACGTACTACAGACTGGCAGACAGTATTGCCAACAAACTCAAAGGACTGTTTGTGTTGTTTGCTGGGCAGCTGGTCAAACCCATCTCTGAATTGCTGCATCAGCTCAACATTTCCCACACAGGTAGTCTGCACATATCAATATGTTTGTATGAAGTTCCAAATACACCTGCAATGCCTCACTGTTAAACTGTGCCAACATTAACATGACCAGATCAGGCTAAGAATAGTGGAATAGAACGTTTTGTGTTTTAGAGATAAAACACTAGAATATTCCAGTAATTTTTCTTTACATTTTTTTTACTGATGTGATTACCCATTCTGCCCATAGAAAAACCCTTCTTCGATTCAGATGATGAGGAGGAAGAGGATTCAGATGATGATGATGAAGACAATGTGGCAAAGAGCAGCCTGCTGCTGCAGCATGTGTTGGACTGCCTCCATAAAATCTTCCTCTATGATACTCAGCGCTTCCTCAGTAAGGAGAGGGCTGATGCACTCCTAGGCCCCCTGGTGGATCAGGTCAGCATGGCACATAAACTGTATGCATCAAGAACTGCAATCTATTCCCCGCTCATGTTATTCCTGTGCAGTAAGTTATTACATAAGCAAAGTTATTGGATAATCTGTTGACATATTTTTTAGTTCAGATTGGGGACTTAAAGTAAAAAAACATCTAGATGGTGCCGCTTTCCTGAGATCATTAAACGTTTAAAGAAATTTTTTAAAAGGTCTTTTCTTACTAAAGAAGTAATATAGTAGTTTTGCTTGGCAATAACAAAATAGGTCAGGGCGGTGTGACCAAGTGTTTCTCAACCCTGTTCCTGGAGGCACACCAAAAGTACACATATTGGATGTCTCCCTAATCAAACACACCCGATTTATCTCATTAGTAGATATGCCAAAACTTGAAATGGGTCAGGGAGACAACCAAAATGCCTACTGTAGGTGTGCTTCAAGGACCGGACTGGTGTAACCAACATGCAGGAACTAGGGGTGGAACAAGTCAATGAACTTATCTATTTGCGCAATTTAAAACACAGTATTGCATTAAACAATCAGTTGTCAAAACTGCCATTAAAACCAGAGTTAAACACTGCAGTCACTGTATTAATTAAATATACACTTATTCTTATTAAAGCCACTTAAAGGGTTAGTTCACCCAAAAATTAGCCTGAGTTTTACTCACCCTCGAGGGATCCTAGGTGTATCTGTCTTTCTTCTTTCAGACGAGTCCAATCGGAGTTATATTAAAAATTGTCCTGGCTATTCCAAGCGTTATCATTGCAGTGGGTGGGTGTTTCTGTTTCAGTCCAAAACACTTTAAATAAAGCGCGCGCATCCATAATAAAACATGCCTTTTTGTAAGAAAAATATCCATATTTCAAACGTAATAAACACTTTTCTCTCACTTCTGCTGACTGTCATATGCGGAAGCCGTTTCGACGGATGACGTAGGACGTATGCGTAGCGCGGGCCCTCTGAGATATGCTAATCTCGCTAGTTTGTTAACAGGAGCAAAGGAAGCAAAGTTTCCTTACTTTAGCAAAGGAAAACCAGTCTCCTCTTGGCTTATATCGAAATCCTCCA